AGCCGTTTGACGGCTCGCTGTTAACTCCATTGAAACCCTCGGTTAGGTTCCAACTAGGGCGGCAGGGTCTTTAAATCAAGGGTGAATCCAAATGGCTATATATCAGCTTATTCCTGGAATTTTTCATAAACAAATGGAACAATTTGACAGAAATAAGTTCTTTTCTCTGAAAATGGATCGTTAAAAACGCAAAACGCTCGGCATAACCCAAAAACTTAAAAAAAAAAACTTTCAAGATTATATCACCCGCTGAACAAAGATACTATGATACATCTCAGAAGAAGACGATGCTCATCATATCGCTCCCTATTAAAACGGCGGTCGCTTTGTTGAAAGTATCTTGGAGAAGTCTGAGGAGATATATGAGCATGTTGGTTTTCTTGTGGAGTGCTTTTCTTAGAATTTATTTGGTTTCTGCTTTCAGCCTCGCTTTCATGTTTAATTCATTTTCACTATTGTCGACTTTTGAAAAGATAGGTATAACTCAAAACAGAAGCATATAACCCCGAAGCGTATAACTCTGTTCCAGTGCTGGGGTTTTTTTGGAGAACCAATCAAGATTTACTTCCTAATATGGAATCACCGATACGCGAGACTGTAGCGGTAGTGTTATGAAAACTTTGTATCGTGATGTAAACGAAGTGCTGCAAAGGCCAATCACGGTTTTACGAAGTACAATTTGGCCAAAATCGGAATTCAAACGCACAGAGTCCCTTCAGAATAGCATATAGTATGTTTTAAAATGACCACTAAGACGGAAAACCACTTATCGAACACGAACAGTTTTGCGCAGAGAAAATTACTCGTACACGCCATAGGGCAAGTTAGCGCGCGCAAATGACAACACACACGTCCGCTCCACTACCTGTGAATATACATGTTTTTTTCTTCATTGATTATGTTATATAACAAATTTAAACATCTAAACGTGTACTTTTGAGTTGTGGATATACCTGGAGAACTGATAAGGATTTGTAGCCTGTGTACAGACCCCTCCCTCCCCTCAGGAAAAATCTGAGAAGGGCCTCTTCTCCGATTTTTCCTGTGGGGAGGGGGGCTCTGCACACAGGATAAGGATTTGAAGAATTTGTTATTAGTCACTTTTTCTGACGGGTATACCTAGAATTCTTTATTCCATATTTGGCCAGAAAAAATTCCCTGCTTCTGATCAGACGGGTAAAAAAAACACAGCATGGTTCTAGACATATAAGGGGAAGTTAGACTCTTCGGGGTTATATACTTCTGCTCAAAACGTATTTGAAACCTCGAACTCTATCACAATCCATCGTTAAGCCTTTTCTGTCCTCTGAGTTGAGCAGAACGTTCCTAGTTCCGGGACTAAAAGTGTGAAACGGTTATATATTTGTAGTGTTTATCTAGCTTTAGAAGTTTCTAGATAACATTCGCTCTTTCGAACAGTTATTTTACAGCAAAAAGTCATTGGGTGCCCCTGAATTTTGGTAGCTTCAGCGCAAAGTTTCTTAATTCAAAAATATTTTTTATATGTCTTTCTCCTTGCCAGCAATCTCTTGCTATCAATGTTCAAACAAAACAACTCTTGAAGATTGCCAAGATAATCAAGTTGATTGCCCCATACCTGTGCACCACTGCGCAAAAATGAAGAGTGAATCGCCGACAAAAGAAGGAACTGTACAAACGACTTATCACAAGGGATGTGTAACTAAAGACCAGTGTAATAATGAAACCAGTGGGAAGATTGTAGATTGCTGCAATGGCGACTATTGTAATACAGGTTACACATTTTTTTTCTTCATATGAAAAGCCGGTTACTCCCCTTTTCTGGTAGCGGGCTTATGACAAAAAAATAAGACTCAGAGTACAAAGTTTGCAAATGATGACATATTTCGAGGTTTTTACGTATTTGTCAGTCGTGTGATTTAAGTAGCTTATCGATCACGTGATCACCCAGCACGCGTTCATTCTAAGGCACTGTATACGGGTGTTGTATCCAGGTTCCCATCCCCTGTTCAAGATAACCATGTTCTCCCTCGAAATCTGATGTTATCGGAAATGAAAAAAAAAAAAAAAACGGACCTTCAAAACCTTATCAAGTGATAAGTGTATCGTCATTATACATATATTTATTTAGACAGAGCAAAAATAACACAAAATTATTAATAACTCTTTAATTATTCTATTTTATACATTAATATTTTAATAATATTTTTTTTTTATTTTTCTAAACAAAGACTCTCACTTACT